TTCACATAAAATCAACAGTCCTAGTCAATTGTCCTTAATCTACACAAAATGGCTATAACACAAATCACTATCGAGGAGGCTGTCTGTACCTCAAATAATATTGATACAAGATCAGACTGTAAAGAAGCCCCAGAAATACGTCCCTGTGTCTTTTTTTCCTGCCTTGGAAATGGAAAATAGGGGCCTTAAAGTGGGCAGAAGTCAAACCGACATACTAATAATCCCTTGGGTTAGGAGAAACATGATTACCTCATCAGGGCTGAAATGACTTTCGATAGGCGTTTCAGCAATTTGGCTCACTACCGATCACGATTAGCTTCTCTCCTTTTTACGACTATTCGATTCATCATTTTCCCCCTTGCCCTCTCACCTTTTCAATCGTTCCCACTCCCATCTCATCTTTTCTATTGCTGCTTTCCCTTCTCTAAACTCAGCCACCCTCCATCTACCCCCTCCCAAATCCGATGACTGTCAAACTATACACGCCTGGCTCTATGCCCCAGGGGTACCCCTGACTGGGAGCAACGAACCTTCGGTGGGTACATATAAATGAATATATTCGTTTGCATGCTCTCATTTCCATCAGCTCTGATGCCTTCAAGGCTTAATTTGCCGACTATTTACGGCTATAGGAATATTTTAAAAAGTCTAGTTCCCACCTCCGACCTCATGACAAGCGCAACTGACCTCCAACATTCTGTTTGCCAATCCTTCAATCTCCAGCTCTTAATCTATTAATCCGTCCCTCCATCATGTGTCCGCCCGTCTATTCACACGTGTTTTGGCTGAACTCAGCTTCAACCCATCTTCACTTTCGACAGTCATACCTGAATCAATTCATCTATTAATCATTTCATTTGCCTTCTTTCTCCTACTCGGACTCGTCTCCGACTGTCGTTCTTTCCCGCCCTCACGGACTCCTTCCTCCCCGGCTTGCATGGCCGAGATTTCATGCACAATACATAATCCCTGTCGACACTGTTTCCCTCGAATGCCACTTTGAGGGTGAGGAAACACGCAGGTTGCATCCAGACAGGCAGAAGCGTCGACGTGTATTGGTGATCGGTCATATACACAAGCCTGCATATTCACATTGCAATCACTTCTGTCATTGCAGCTGTCTTTGCGCATAGACTCCATTCCAGCCCTCTGAGCCAGACCTAGTCTAGTTTGCGCAGGTTGAGCTTGGGGACAGAGCTAGGCATATTAACATTTATGCATTATTAGGTATGCATCAATGCACATTCTATTGTATCTCTAAGCAATTCGTCAGCCTATCAACAAGTTGATTCAACCTGTCACGCCTCGATCAAAAATGGCCACGGGACAGAAACAACCAGCATGAAAGGGGAACTAAAAAGTCGCTGAAAGTTTGACAAGCCTTCTGAGAAATAATCCATTGTATTTTTTGTAATAAAATGAAACTTAAATCAGCCCGTCTGATTATATAATCAACCCCATCCTTCCTCTTCGACCTAGCCCTTTCTTTCTGCCCTT